TTAATTTTTTTAAATGGCTGATTAATATTCCACTGTGTAAATGTACATTTTTATCCATTCATCCACTGACAGACATGTAGGTGTTTTCTAATTGCTCGATATTTTTTATGAATAGAGAAGCAATGACCATGGTTGAGCAAGTGTCTCTGTCTAAGGATAAATGAAGCATCCTTTGAGGACATATGTTCTCAAGAGTGGTATCACTGGATCTTGAGGTAGCCTCCTGATCTAGCTGTAGCATCCTGAGGAACTACCACACCAATTTCCATAGTGGCTGTACAAGTTTGCACTCCTACCAACAATGGATGAGTGTTTCTCTTTCTCCCACAATCTCCAGCATGAGCTGTCATTTGTTTTATTGATCTTGGCCATTCTGATTGGTGTAAGATGAAATCTCAAAGTAGTTTTGATTTGTATTTTCCTGATGACTAAAGTTGTTAAACCTTTCTTTAAGTGTTTCTTAGCCATTGAGGTTCCTCTTTTGTGAATTCTGTTTAGCTCTGTACCTTCATTTTTTAATTGTGTTATTTGTTTTCTTGATGTTCAATATATTTTTTAGTTCTTTTTTTGACATTAGCCAATTATTGGATGTATAGTTGATGAAAAAAATCCTTTTTCATTCTGTAATGTGCTACTTTATCTGAATGATGGTATACTTTGCCATAGAGAAGCTTTTATGTTTCGTAAGGTCTTATTTTTGAATTGTTTTTAGTGCTATGTTATTAGTGATCTGTTCAGAATGTATTTCCCTGTGCCAGTGAGTTCAAGGTTACTCCACCCTTTTTATTCTATCACACATAGTGTATCAAGCCTTATGTAGAGGTCTTTGATTCACTTGGAGTTGACTTCTGTGCAGAGTGATGAGTGAGGTTCTATGCATTTTTCTTCATGAAACAATCCACTTTAATCAGCACCATTTAGTAAAGATGCTGTCTACTTTCCAGTGTGAATTTCAGGCTTCCTACTAAAGGAAAAATCAGGTTTTCATATGTCTGCACATTTATTTCTAGATTGTCTATTCTATTTCATTGATCAGGGAGTCATATATTTCTATTTTTTAAAACTGAACATGCCATTTTCTTAATGAGTAAGTAATTATATTTATGTTTTTAGTGGCTAGTATTCATGGAGTCTTTGGTTGATATCATGTGAACTTCTTCACAAATACATGATATTGAACTGTGGCTAATGTCTACTTGATAACCAAAAAGACAACTCATGGATAATAAACACCTTGATCAAAGCGATAGTTGATTCCACTTGTTGGTGTCTTACATACTGTTGTTCATTTCTTTTTTTATTTAAATTTTATTGAACATTTTATTTACATTTCAAATGTAATCCCCTTTCACCATTTCCCCCCACACCCAGGAACTCCCTATCCCATCCCCTCTCCCCCTGCTTCTATAAGGATATGCCCCCACCCACCCTCCCACTCCCACCTCCCCACCCATGATTTCCCCCACACTGGGGCGTCCAGCCTTCACTGGATTAAGGACTTTCTCACTTACCTGTGCCTGACAATGTCATCTTCCCTTATGTATACAGCTCATCCTGAGCGAAGTAATTCAATCACAAAAGAACACACATGGTCTGCACTCACTGATAACTGGATATTAGCCCAAAAGCTTGCAATATCCAAGATTCAACTCACAGACCACATGAAGCTCATGAACAAGGAAGACCAAAGTGTGGGTGCTTTGGCCCATCGTAGAAGGAGTAACAAAATATTCATGGGAGCAAATATGGAGACAAAGTGTGGGACAGAAACTGAAGGAGGGGCTGTCCAGAGGCTGCTCCACCTGCGTATCCATCCCTTGTATATTCACCAAAGGCTGATGTGGATGCCAGGAAGTTCATGTTGACAGGAGCCTGATATAGCTGTCTCCTTAGAGGTCTGCCAGAGCCTGAGATATACAGAGGTGGATGCTCACAGCTAACTATTGAGCTAATCATGGGGTTCCCAATGGAGGAGTGAGAGAGAAGACTGAAGGAGCTGAAAGGGCTTGTGGCCCCATGGGGAGAGCAACAATACCAACCAACCAGAGCTCCCAGGATCTAAACCACCAGCCTGGAAGCACAAAGGGAGGGACCACGTCTCCAGCTGTATATGTTGGGGAGGATGACATTGTCAGGCATAGGTGGGTGAGGAAGTCCTGTTGTTCATTTCTAACCACACACAGAACTGCTCTATACAATTAGGGTTTGTCAAGCACATGCTTTTAAAATCCAGTACATGAATATTGGACATACTTTGGTTTTTTATGTAATTGTAATCTGTTATTGAAATGCTTTAGGTAGTTTCGAGTTGCTACCCACTTTCCCTATCTCTCCTTCCCAAAGTAGAATTTATAGCTATTTACAGAAGTTACTGAAGCTGTATTATGTGCTAGCTTTCCTTCATAGTTCAGATCTTAAGTTAGAAATTGACAGCAAGATGCTCCATCTGCACCCAAGTGGATGAGAATGTGGAGTTTCCTTTCAGAGTCAAGTAAGTGGTCAGAGCTGAGATTTTCCTCAGGCTTCTCACTTCAGAGCAGGCTTGGCTCTGCTTCCTCGTTTATAGAATAAAGGTAATAATTCCGACCTATTGTGGTTGCTGTGCTAGAGACCATGCATTCCCATGCACAATTCACAGAGCAAAGTGGTTTGCCAATAAATAGCAGACAGTTGGGGAACTCTTTAGTAAGCTCCAGGCTGTTAGGGGTTGCTGAGTTCATCTTATCCCTACTAACCCTCATTCCCAAGGGGAAAATGACTGATTGAGGGTTTCATTTCAGAAATGATTCTTATGCGTATATGTAAAAATGATTTATTATTTAGTATTGGGAAAGAGGTTTTCTGTAGCATCTTTCTTTTAAATAAAAATTCAGAGGACACTGTCTGAACTGGAACTGTCTCAGAGGTCTAGGATGTATGGCTCACTGTCTGCATGTTGCTTTCCTTATCCTCTTGGGTGTGGAGGGGCCTTCTTACATTCGTATTCTCCAGTCTCTTAATCCAGGCATCAGTATGTTGTCTAGACTTCCTTGTGTGAATTCCATTCAGAGGAGATGGGAAATCCATACATTAAGTTTAAGCATTGTTCGCTTTTTCCTTGGAAGCAGTGAACTGAGGGATGGAGACAGAGTTATAACAGATTACTTGTGTAGGGAAGATGTTCGTGGGTCCTCAGTAGAACTAGAAGACAGCATGACTAGCAGCATACACAAAGAAAAAGTTGTATGGTTACCAAAAATTAACACACACTGAAGAAATCCATCTGGCTATAGTTTGATATATAGAAAACCACATATTAGGTTATTGTATATTGAGTGTCAAGTGAATAAAAGTGGTTCATTGCCCATATGGACCTTATTTGGGGTGTGTCTTCTCATGTCTCACTCATGGGCTTGATTCATACCTGCCTGTGAACAATTTCTTCCCACTACAATCACTCTGCCCCTGTAACTCTTATGTTCATTCTTTAAATTTCCAGCCTTGTTTTCAACCAGATTTCATGGAAACCTTCGCTATGGGTTTGGTTTTAAGGGAAACCAGCGTCATACTCACTTAGTTACTTTAGGGATGTGCAGTTGAGCTTTCCAGGTTAGAGCCAGACTTCACTTTGCTATGCAGAGTTTTCACTGTTCCTCTGTCTAATGATTCTTGCAGATGCATTGCTTGCGTCATGTGCATAACCAAGACTGGTATTTTGTTTACATGCATTGGTCAATTCAGGTGGCATAACATTGACATATACACTAAAACTTTCCAAATTACAACATGCCTCATCCATCCTTTGGGACTTTCCCCTTGAATACACACTGATTTTAAAGACACTTATATGCACACATTGTTGGTTCATTATGGATCGTGGGCTCTAAATTAATGGATTGCAAAGATTTGTTTTCTATAGACAGTCATTGTTTGCAATTCAGTTAGTTTTGTCAGGCAACATGAGCACATTACTGGAGTAGTTTTGGGTGAGAACTTTGAAAGTGAGTCTTTAAATTCATGCTCACAGGTTCTCTTTCCCATGCTTGCTTTTTTCATGCTCATTTCCTCTGTGTTTCTTTCTGTGGTATCTACTGTTGTTTTATTTTTCCCAAGTCCAAATAGTCAAATAGCCTAGGGGAGATAGTCTTGACTGGGAGATATACTTTAGTATATAAATGGTTACCTATGTTATAAGGTGGGTTCCAAATATATATGCAAATAGACACCTGTTCCTTGGAAAGAATACAATATAAAATGAGAATATTATACTCTCATGCCTCTGCATGTCAATTTTATAGATTGTGGTTTCTTCTTTTTTGGTCATTCTTTTAGTTTTTTATTTGTTTTTTGTTTTGTTCGTTTGTTTGTTTTATAAATCAGGATTACCAATTGTGGCATTAGTACCATAGCACAGCAGAGCAAAAAAGAGTATAGGCTTTGGAGTATAATTTGGATTTTTATTCAAGCTTAGCAGCTGCTGACTTTGGAATCAGGTCCTTCCTGAACTCAGTTTCCTATCAGGTATATGATTTTCAGGGATGTTAGGTTGGAAAAGAAACCATAAACTACAGTGTTAAACTTAATGTATAAATCCTAAGTTTGTGTTAGAAGCACCAAAGGAAGATACTGAATGTGACAGAGATTCTAGCTATCTACAGGGAACAAAATAAAATCAAGAAATTTTATATGATAGCAACTTTGCTAAAAGTTCTTATGGGAATCCTGAGTTATTTTAGGCATATGTCCTAATTTTAAATGAACCAGATATAGTTTGTAGAGACATATTCATGCTCTTAAATATAGCAACAAGGTATAAATGTTCATGATTTAATAAATTTTAAAATTATAATAATTGGATTTTCTAAGTGCACTTGAGAGGTGATTTTAGTTATCAAAAAGTATTATACATGCTCTAGCTCAAGAATAGATTTCATTTGCAGTGTGGCTTAGCTTTGTGAGGTAGGGCTTTATGCTGTGTTCTACTGTCTGATGTCTTACAATTCTCTTTTTTACCCCCACAGATTTACCAACAAAGAGATACAGAGAGTATGAGCTGGTGACACCAGTTAGCACAAATCTAAAAGGACACTATCTTTCCCATATTCTTTCTGCAAATCACAAAAAGAGGTCACCCAGGGACGTGTCATCTAACTCAGAGCAATTGTTCTTCAACGTCACAGCATTTGGAAGAGATTTTCATCTTCGACTAAAGCCAAACACTCACTTCATAGCTCCTGGAGCTGTGGTGGAATGGCATGAGACAGCTCCCAGGTCTGGGAATACCACTGACCCCAGAAACAGCCGTCCACATGGAAGTGCTTCAGAAGGAAGCTGGAGATCAGAGCCTTTGCAGACTAGCTGTGCCTATGTTGGTGACATCATGGACATTCCTGGAACCTCTGTTGCCATTAGCAACTGTGATGGTCTGGTAAGACTCATTTCCTTTCCTGTGTGAACATGGATGTGTGCAGATGCTGGCATTTCGTTTGTCTTCAGCATTGCAAGGTTGAGATGGAAAGAAACCTCAACTCATAGGCAGTGTGGTGGGCTTGGCAGGACCCCTCTGTCCTGTGACTGTTATAGCTTATATATACTGCCTTGTGAATCTTACAACCTTCTGGGTTACTGGAGCCTTGTAATTCTTACTGGAGCTTGGTTCCATTTGGAGGACATGATTACACAAAGGTGACTAATAATTCTTGACAAAGTACAATGTTGCTCTTGATATGCCATCCTATTTCTAGGTTAGACACCCTGAGCTGCCCAGATGCAGAATTGTCACCACTCTCTGTCGTGTTCCAGAAAACTTCTGCTACTGGAGACAACTTCTCTCCCCACATTACCCAACCAACTCTAGCCACAATTCTGTCAGGGCTTTTCCAAGCTTTCTCTAAGATGACAGTGGACTCCATCACTGCCATGCCCATAGGTAGCACACTCAGCCCTTTTCAAAGCCTTTGGCAGAAGGTGTTGGCCTGCTTCACCTTGCTTTCTGCTCTAGAGTGAGTTCGGGGGCAGAAGTCAAGATGGTGCCAGGTGTTTCGCACTGAGACTGGAAGATGCTCTTGCTGGAAACCCTAAATGAAAATTTATTCTCTCCACAGAGTCCTGCCTTGCACTCTGTCACACCATTAAACTTCTCCTTTGAGTAGTGACAGCTGGTACTGATTTTTATGGTCTGTAAGTTTACCAAAAACACAGGGACATTTGATATAATCTTTACGTCATGAGCTTTACCATAGAAAGACATTACATTTTTCTAGATTTACTAATGTACAGTTGCCCTGTTAATTCTCCCGATACGTCACCAGAGGGAACTGGTTGGGAGTAGAGAAACAGAGAAGTGAATTGGTTTTCTGGGTTACTGGAGGTCAGTGATTTTCTTCTGGGCTGCTTTTAAGATCAAGGGAGATTACCAAGTGCTAAGGTTTTCCACATTAAGAAAACCTTCCACATTAAGAAAAATTTACTTCTAACTTCTGATGAAAGGACTAGGGTTTATCTAGTAAAAACAGTATGTACAAAGGACAAATTCGGGCAAGGTCTGGCTGAAAAAGATGGGAGGTGTCTCCTCTCTCTCCTTCCTTCTTATCCTTAGATCTTTCTTTTGTGCCCTATTCCCAAATTCCCTGAGGATCAGAGCAGGAGAACCTTGATAGTATATCAGGGGTTCTAAGCAGTTAATGTTAACAACTTAATGATGATAGATGAATGTCTTTCTCTAAAATATTAGGTAGCCACATCTGGCGAATATCAGAGGTATTTTATCCTTGTTGGATCTTTGGGAAGACCAAATGAACTCTGTGGGTAGTTGCCAACTTGTAGCAAAAACATCCTCAGAACGTCTGCTTTGGGATTTGGTCCCTTCAAAAACATACTATTGCTGTACTTGCTTCAGTAAGTCTGGTAGCAGAGGCACTTTTTATTTTATTTTTTTAATTTTTTAAAAACCAGGTCTGTTTTGGAAAGAATAAGACAGTGTGCATGTGATTGAGAACATTTGGTAATTGTAGATTCAGGTCAATCTGGTAAGTGAAATGTTTGGCACTAAAAATAGGCATGATCGTGGAACCAATTGCCGGGTACTTAGAGAAGCCAGTTGTAGAGAGCTGACCTTTAGAATGCCCGTGGTGGGCATCTGCTTCTGGGCCAGTGTCCTCTTACTTTTCATTCCACAGAGATGGATGCCCATGGAAGTGACTGTGTACCACTGATGGATGGGGCAGACGGGGAGAACAAGGCCTTTCTGGTTTACATAGTGATTTAAGAGGTGTTAGAAATTCTGAGGAAAGAGGGCTGAAACCATGTTTCCAGAATGACGTGAGGCTGTTTTAGGATGACAGACTTCATAGAACTTGGCATGGGAATGGTAAGGGTACCCCCATTTACTTAGTGTACGACAGTTGCTTTCATCTTAACCTATAGTGTGCTTGGCCTCTTAGTCAGGGTTTGTATTCCTGCACAAAACATCACAATCAAGAAGCAAGTTGGGGCGGGGAGGGTTTACTCAGCTTACACTTCCACATGGCTGTTCGTCATGAAAGGAAGTCAGGACAGGAACTCACACAGGGTAGGAACCTGGAGGCAGGAGCTGATGCAGAGGCCATGGAGGGTGCTGCTTACTGGCTTGCTTCTCCTGGCTTGCTCAGCCTGATTTCTTATAGAACCCAAGACTACCAGCCCAGGGATGGCACCACCCACAATGGGCTGGGCCTGTCCACCCTTGATCACTAATTGAGAAAATGCCTTACAGCTGGATCTCTTGGAGGCATTTCTTCAAAGAAGACTCTTTTTCTGTGATAACTCCAGTTTGTGTCAAGGTGACACAAAAAACTATCCAGTATGCCTCTCCATGCCCTATATAGAAGCTGATGGTATTATCTAGTTTTGTGTGACCTATGTGACCTTTTGCCTACATCATTATCTTGCCTCCATTTTCACGCAGCTAGTTGGGCAGTTTGTATTTACTTAGAGTAAGGAGTGATGGGTTAGCTCATGCTTTAATCATTAATGTACCTTGTGCCCTAATAACATATATAGGTTCTTGAAGGTACTGAAGATCATGTGATTGTGGAAGCAGTGGTCTTACGTTACTTCTGGGCAAATTATACTTGAAACAAGAAGAAACCAAGCATTGTGGAAGTGACAGGATGCCTTGTGAGGACTGTACTCTGAGTACAGTCGACCCTCAAAGAGTCCCTCAAGCTCTTGTGGCACAAACACTGATTCAGGTTAGCACAGGACTGAAGCACTCATGAATGTCAGGCTCTGTACACTTCATAACTGAAGTGACTACTGAGGGAGGCTGGGCTTGGCCTTTGCCTTCAGTGAGAACTGGAAACAGTGTGTATAAAAACATAATCAAAGAATAAAGCTGATGTCGGGGATGTGGCAAGACTAGCTTGGGGAGACGTGAGAACTAAGATGATGGAAAGATTAGGTCTGCCTTGGATGCTAGGCTTAATGGGAAAAGTTATAACTCCAGTGTGAGATTTTGAGAAAATGGCCATGTATGTCAACATACTCAAGGATGGAGGAAGGGAAATGGTGGAAAGATGGAAAACCTCTGGCCATATGACCGGGGAGATCTTGGGAAACCTGATTTCATGAAGGTTGAAGCCCATTACAACACATTATAGGAGGGTCAATGTAGAGTAGGTTACCATGGGGTAACCTGAATGTAGGACAAAAGAGATAGTATGTGAAGGGAAGAAGGAGAGAAAAAGAGGCACATCTTACAGACATGTGCATGGCTAATGCTGTCAGGGTTACCCAGATGCTCAGGATGGTGACCAGGGTGAATGGACCTTGGTGTTCTCCATAGTCCATGTCTTCTGGTGTCATGGGGTCTTTGCTGATGGTATCTAGGTGACTTTATACAAACAGCTTTGTAGCAGGTTTTTTTTTTCCTTTCTAAAGTGCCTGCAATGTTATGTGAGAAGAATGGGATTTGGTTTTCGAGAATCCGAATTGATTCCCCTAGTCTCAGGCTCTCCAAGCTTTGTTTGAGGAGTTAAAGTCTGCTCCATCGGAAGATTTGAATGAATCTGATTCTTTCCATCTGGGGTCTTTCCCGCCTCCCCACACACGTGTTTACTCTCTGATCAGATTTCTTCATTCCACATCTAAAGGGCATTTCTAATGTCTTTCAGTGGTTTATGCTTGTAATATGCTTTTACACGGAAGTTAAATAAATTGTAGATGGAGATAATATCATTTTATGTAATCAATGTCACCTAACTTTTGAGAATAAACCAGTAATCCCTCTATTAATAAGGGAGTTGATATTCATTCATTTTTTATGCTGTGGTATTTATTCTATATAAGTATGTGTATGAATGTTCATATATGAAATATATATTTCAAATACACAGTTATGTATATGTATATATTTATAAGCACATATTAAATAATGGGGACAGTCAAGTATACACAGCATCATTTGCAATCAAGAGAAATGCAATCAAATTTAAAGATGCATTATTAAATTATAGTTGCATAAAATGAACTGAAGTGCATATTACATAATGCCTGAAGGATTTTGCAGTCATTTCCTATGGTTCTTGCAATGAGCTAGAAAGCTACCAGGTTAAATTTCTAAAAGCTGGTGGGATGCTAATTGCTCCCCCTTGAGCAGCTGTGTTCTTCATAATTTACAGATAACAGGAAAAAGTGTACCTCATGGGACCCTGTATCAAGGCAAAATTTTAAAATGAAATTTAGTTTGATGAAATGTGCTTGCCTATGTGTACTCCTGGGTTCAGTTATAGTAGTTCAGGAGAAAGAAAACTAACTCTCCAGTTTCTTGACTATTTTTTCATCATATTTAATATGAAATACATGGTAATTGACTGTTATTGTTAAGATTTCCAATCATTTGTCAGCTACCAATAGTTAAGTTTTTATGGAGCTGATGTTCTATGAGAATCCTCTCTCCCTCACTCCCTTTCTATCTCCATCCTTTTCTTGGTCTGTCAGAGCATTGAAACTAGTGCCTTATACATTCTAGGCAGGTACTGTATCACTGAGCCACATCTCCAGCTCCATGAGACTTTTCAGTCTTAGGGGCTATCATCCCTCATCCCTGTGTTCAAGGGTCAACTCTAGCTGTTGTTTTAACTTTCTCACTTATTCTCTGGCTGGCTGTTCTGTGCATCACTTGAGTATGAGCTATCGATGTTTTCAACTATGATGGTGGAACTAGGTTTGCTTTCCTTCAGTGCTTCCATTTTCATATATTTATTTACATGGCCTGTGATTTCATATGCAAATATTTATGATTGTTAAATATGTTTTTCTTAGCATACATCTTCCGTTGTCTCTTGTAATGTGCTTTGTAAAGTCTGCCTTGCCCATTATTAGTACATGAGATGGGCTTTCCTTTTAATTAATCAATGTCTTTGAATCTAAAGTGATTTTCTTATAAAC